GTTATCATGAAAAGAAGAGAAAGCAAAGAGAGAAGACCACATGTCTTCTTTTGTAAACTCTGAATAAACATCTCACACTACGCTTTATATGGATTTTGAAGAACACGTAAAAATAATGTGTATGTTGACTATTTATTGTATATTCTCCGGTCCGATCTAACCAGTAACCAGTAAGTACCAGTCCACACGTTGCCTTGTTTTGTTGCAGTATGAATTTCTTTTGTCGATTGCAGTGTAAATTTATACTAATATGGCTTCATATATATATTTTAAATCTATTTTTTTCTTTTTTCTTTACAAAACTAATAATCCACAATAGTTGTTAGCTCAACAGTACAAATATATAAAAATGTTTACTCGGGAGTTGAGATTATAATTTTAAAAGAAATATGAAATCCGACACAACAGAGGATGGAGTGTGACAAAGTCAAATTACATAAATAATTTATGAACAATTCCCTATAAAGTAATAAGTTTTGGAGCAATTTATCAACAAATACATGTCATTATGTGCCCATATCTCTTCAGATCCTAGAGTCCAGATTTCTAAGAGGAACATTCTATTTTAAAAACATAATCTGAAAAACAATGATACTGTTTCATTTCTGGAGTAGTAGTGAGGTGATTAGTACTCTCGAAAGGAAGTACTGTAATAAATTTTGGATGACCAACGTTCATATTTCTTGTGAACCAAGTTTTGTATTTACTTTGTTACTATTTTTTTTACATTATTCGACGACCCTTTGTTTCTGCCACATTAATCAACGAACCCGTTCCCACAGGCAGGTGGGAAGTTCAAAATTCATTTATCCGACTTTCAAAGCAAACAATAGTTGTATATAACTAATTAAATCTTAATTTTTATTGTTACAAAGAAAGATGATAAACCAAAGTTTACATTACTATATTATACATATCTTATATCCACAGATAACCAATAAAATATACAGATGATCTTTCGCTACGGCTTTCTCGAGAGACAGAGAGATATAACAAGTGTATCTTGTAATGTACTGTCTGAATAAATGAAAATGAAAATGTAAATAAGAAAAGAAACAACTGTTCGCTAAACGAGAAAATAGGAAAAAGACAGAGCCTTGAACAGTAGCTAGGTCTGCCAAAAACTTGCATGCCTAAAAAGCCCTTTAATTAAAAAATGTCACAAATATCAACAATTTCTCATGTTATTTACTCGTTGGTTATTTATTTGTTTCTCATGTTACCTTCTAAAAATAATGTGTATGTTGAAATTATTTTGTGTTTTATACATCTTCTGTTTTTGTTTGTGTGCGTGTGTGTATATATGCCATACAATATGGATGTACGCCAAACTAAAATCTACAAATATGTCATCATTGGTTTAAAATTATCAATGGTCGACAATAAGTTAGATGAACAAATCAACTTACTGTCTCAACGTATAGCTGTAAGTCTGAAAGGGAAATATATACTCGTTCTCTTTCTTTTTTCTTTTTCTCTTAATAATAAGTCTACTACACCTAGAATTTTAATGATATATGGACCACTAAGAGACCATTATGTTTAAGACTATTTAGAGACAAAAAACTAATTCATGATCGATTAAGAAAAAAATATTCATTTTTGTAGTGTTTTAGCCATTCCGTAAGATCATTCATCAGTATTATGTAATAATTACATGCATATGCACCGCGATCTATGATGGTGTAGTTCATGTAAACAATCGTTTTGTGTAATTTGCCTTCAACTAAGTAATCTATTTAATAAATAATTAAAAACTGTTGAATTATTGTTTATATATATCCTTCTAATGGTAATGCAAACAAAAATCGAATCCAGATGAATCTTCTTTACCACGCCTTTGCTACTTTGGTTATCCCGTTCCCGACTATTTTAAGAAGAAAAACTCTTTCGGAAATTATTATTTTTATCTAAGCCTAATCGATTTAATTAAATGGGTCTATGAACAGTATACAGTTAAGAGTTCCAAGTACCACCCAAGTCGTTCAACGAAGGTAGGCCAATGATTTCAACTACAAAGCATATTAAAGAAATTAGCTAATTGTTTAAAGCTTATTGTAAATGTTTATAACAACTTAATTAGATACTACTACAGTATTATATTCCATTACACGTAATCAACAACATATCTGAATGGTGAATATTGGAATGAGGAACGAGGAAACTTTTGAAGGTCTATTATCGTCGGAAAACGGATCAACGTGAAAGTCAAGCCTACTTACTGACCTATTAACGCATACTTTTAAACACACACAAACTCTTAATTTATTAGCCACCTTTCTTGTTGAATAATTTGAGCTATTAATTTTAGTCTTTCTCACTTTATTAGTCTCCCAAAAGGCAAAACATAGTAAGTAATTTTATAATTTGATTCGTTTCTAATCAAATTCTTAAACCAAAACCAAGATCAATCCCTAACCAAACATTAAATACTATGGTAAATTCTACAACGGCCAAGCATGAGAGCTAAAATTTGACACATTCGAGGCAAAAATAAAATGAAGACAATGAGCGATGTGAAATTTATATGGTCTCAATTTAGGGACTAAGTTTGTCTGAGATCGAAAAGCCACCAAATGTGGCCATTGGTATTTTAAATAGGCACATTACTTCACATTCCAACATAAGGTTCCACTACAAGGGGACACCTCCTCTTAACCATCCCTTTCTTATCATTCTTGTATAATTCTATTTACTTTTTTTTTCGTTTTAAGAAAAAGAAAAACAGTTTTAGTTTCTTTTGCTGCAATTTACACAAACAAAGGTGATTCTCTTTGAGTTTAAAATTATTTAGAAATTAAATCCAAATGTTTAAACTGTCTTCCTATTTATTTGTTGCTATGTTAAACAGAGAGAACAAATAATAAAATGTTACTCAAGAAATTATATAATAAAGATTAAAGATTAATCTGAATGTTACTAGTACTTATTAGTAGCATTTTGGAAATTTTAGTAAAACAATGGGAGTATAATTTGGAAAAAAAGAATTATCTTCAATAAATGAAATCGTCCAGAATTCAGATAGACAGAAATTAGACATATAAACCTAACACTAATGATGGTGTCTTCACTTCCTAAAGAAAACCTCATGATAACGCGTATTATTTTCTTTGTTTCCAACCGCCAAATATAGAAACTTTATGTTGTTTTTTCTGTGTTTTTTCTTCAAGTAAGACACTAGCATTTTTTTCCTAAGTTTAGTTTATTTTGGATTTTCTTATTTACTCCTGATTAATCATCTAAAGTTTATAATATTTCAAACTAATCATACTAGTTCCTATATATGAAAATATTATGAGAATATAAAAGTTTGGAGGATACAAAATAACAGTACAAGATAATAATATAATGAAACATTATATTAATAGTGGTAAGACATAATACTACTATACAAAAAATAATGGTATATGACTTTTCGCTATAACCAAAACCGGCTATGCGAATTTGGAGACATGAAGCGTATGAAAATAATTAGTAAAATACTAATAAAAATGCAAGGAAAATGGAAATGAAGAAACTCGAATTGCTTGTCTATCTTTCATCAGTTCATTTAGCGATTTTACCACTAGCAAATTGAAGATTTTGCATATTTGGCGACCGTTAAATGACTTAATAAGTGTTGAATGGTGGTGGTTTGACGCATACATTTCTAGATTTCCTCGTATCATCAAGACAATTTTTTTTGTTTAAAAGCGAACGAATCTCTCGAAGTAAGTGTTGAGCTATGGTCAATATCTATGAGCTTTATGTAATACGGTAGTAATTTTGAAATAATTGTATGGCCGAAAAAGATAACAAAAGAAATCTAATCTTAAGTGGATATACAAAGGATATTTATTTGAAGGGATTGTAGTATTTGGGTTTGAGGCAACTTCTTAAATGGTGGTGGTTTGGTGGGGTATCTTCCATGTTCCCACAAATGCTTTGATATTTCCACATATCTTTTATTTTCATGATCATGGGACACCAAAATACTTTTCTAATTTACAATAGACTTAATAAATAAATACACACCATAAAAAAAAGATGACAATTATTTTTTATTCTTTTTCTCTCTTTTTGTTCTATTCTCGGGTAGTTATCCAATTTTGGCTTGTAGATATATACAAATCAATAATTGAAAGCAATATCTAAAAACTCTTGCCACATATTTAGTCTATATTTGTCGACTTATGTTCATGGATTTTTCAAAAGAAAGATCGCTTGTTTTTTTTTTTCCTTTTTCCTTTATATGTGAAAGGTCTATGAAGGGTATATATCTTGTCAAGTAGTAGAGAAAGTGGGAGTATATCACGAGTGCATTTTACGAATTGACAAATTAAAATTAGAGGGCAAAAAAAAAAAAGGCTGGATCACATGGTTGTGGGTCCAGTTAAAATGGGCCCATATAATTGTAAAGGCCCACCCAAGTAATTGTTTAAAAAAGCTATAAAACGTGGAGGGTGATTAAGACGAACAAATGAGTGGAGAGGAGAGACGATTATTAGTACATAAATGTGATCGGGGTCTAGTAGGCATCGATTAGTCCATTTCCCAAATTGGTCTCCCTGTTATATCGGTTTCATAATCGTTTGGTCTCATTTCTTGTGATTCTAATTCGATTTGGTCGTTATTTTGTGTTCCCCATGATTCGTGTCCTATCTCATATCATATGTATCTCTATCATCAATTCATCATAAACAAAATATACAAAATGAATAAATGACGTTGTGTAGAAAAATATAAAATTGGTTTGGTTGAACTTAGGATGCGTAGATTTGTTTTATTACACGATCTATGGATGGGCTCCAAAACACTTAAATGGGGTTCGTCCATTGGGCTTCCATGGATTAAGTTGTCTATGGAATTGGGCTTGTTGACAAAGGAAAACATTTTAAATTGGGCTAAAATTTCGATCCATGTTCTGTAGATAACAAATCACACCCAAGAGACTAGAGAAGCTAGGAGAGAGTATATAACAGAAGAAGCAAGAACAAGAAGAAGATCATGCTTGGAAGTTTTCATCTTCCTCTGCAATGGCAATTACAAAAGAAAAAAACATAAAACTGAGCAAATCGTGTTTGCTTATTTGATCAGTTTTCATCCCAACAAGTAACACAGAGTCTTAAAACTGGTGCAAGAAGAAAAACAGGTTTAAGGTTTCTACTTGCGAGGAGCTTTCTTCTTTCCTGCAATTGCAACTCTCTTGCCCTTTTTAGTACGAGCGTTGGTTTTGGTCCTTTGTCCTCTGCAAGGCATTCCATGTCTATGTCTACTTCCTCTGTAGCAGTCTACTTCCACCAGTCTCTGTATTTCCGATCCAACACGCCTCCTCTTCAATTCAACAATCATGGAAACAACAACAACAACAACGAAAAAACCAGTTTTGAGAGAGACGAAGAAAGATGAACTCAAAGAAAGTTAAGTATGACTTATGATAAAGAAGAAGAGTAGTTACCAATTCATCACCATGTTGGTGCATCCCAACTTCTTCACGGAGGTCAATGAGCTCTTTACCGGTCAAGTCTCTGGCAAGTTTGTTAGTGATGCCGAGCCCACAGAGAACCTGGTGAGACTTACGCCGACCGATTCCATAAACTTCTTGCAGACCGGTTTTGAGTGGCTTCTGGTTTGGAACCTCTGCGTTTCCCACACGAATTCCTTGGACTCGCAATCCATGGAACTGCAGAGACAGAAGAACAAAACACAAATGTGTATATAACTCCAACAGAGGAATCAAACTAAGTATTGGCTTCGATAAGCGGAGTTAAGAAAACGGGATGTAATCATCAAAGTTGAACTATAATTCAAGAACTGAGCAGAAGCATAGTATGCAATTGCAAAACTTTACACTTTTAGCTGAGCCAAAAAAGAGAAGCCAACATATATCATCAACACTGAGAGATTTTAGATGCTTCGTTTAAGAATTCTCAATCCTGAAGCTCATTTTTTTCAAAGGCAAACATAGGGGCAAAAGCTTCAGGTGAAACCAAATTCTCAATCGATTGATAATATTGTGCCAATTTCACAAATGAGCATTTCTCATTTCTCACGAACGGGAAAGAAATTAAGACGGACGATTCGAAACAAGAATACACATCGAAAGAGAAACTTAAAGGGTATGGTCAAAACATACGAATCGACTCGATCTATTGAAACGATAGTCCGAGAACTCAAAGAAGAGATTGATGAAATTTCAGAAACTACATCTTCTAGCCGAAATACTCGAATTCGAACAGGAGACGGAGAACTCACCGATAAATTTCGAAGCAGAGACTGGCTATGGTCGAATAAGGTCGCCGCAGATCTGCGTAAGCCAAACATCGTCGAAACTCAGTTTCAGAGAGATTCACACGGTGAAGGAGGAGGGTTTAGGATTCAGTTTCCAACCACCGTTAACGCCGCCGCGTTTTCAACCAAAACGCAAAAACGTCTCTCCTCTCCTTTCTTGAGTCTTACATTCCGCTTATTGGGCTTTCAATGTATTGAGAGAGGCCTCGGATCCAATCAGCTATATAGCATTGATAATACTATGGAATTTTTAAGTTTACTAATAGCTGGGCCCAAATTTTCTAAATGTTCATAAGAAATCAATCAACCCTGTTTTTTTATGACCGTGTCTCATTGGGCCCAAATTTATTTTATTACAATTTTGGGCATTGCGAATGAGATTTTTTTCGACCTTCTTTACAAATTCAAGCAAGAGAATTAGAGAAGCCTATTACTGTATACGATCACAATATGCTTTTTCTTTTAAAGTTTTATGATGCAGTACAATTAGGCAAATCTAGTTGGCTAATTAAATCCCAACTCTTGAAAAAGATGAATAATTAAGCAATAATGTTTGGTTTGTAATTTTCGGAGACGTTAAACACTTAGGCAAACCTAGTTTTATATTAGCTTCTCTTTTGTTTAGGAAAGACAAGTTTATTATACAATAAGAGAACGTACGGATTATAGAAAAGTGGTTGGCTACCTGCAACATATTTTGTCATTTTGTGAATTATATTACATGCAAGGTGTTTGATCGTAAATAACGCCAACTTAACGAGCGTGATATGTAATAATGCCTTCTGATTTTTTTTTCTTTAAATGGAAACATTTTAAACTTTTAATTATGTGAAATAGTTTCAAATTACACAACCCGCAAGATCACTAACTCGAATGTAAATGGAATATTTAGCTTTTTGGGATAAAACGAGACTATATCACTTGTTTAGAATATATCTCGAGTTATGAATAATTGGATATAAAGTAATTTAAGTTACTCAACTTAATTGCTAGTTTTTTGTAGTATTAAATAATATAATGAAAATTGAGCCATCTACAGTTTTTAGTTTTTTTTTTTCACTTCAATTTTTTTTAGGTTTCGAAGAAAAAGAATAGATAACTGCTGAGATTTTCAAGTACAAATTAAAGATATTTTTAGCTCTTGTGAAAACTCGACTCGTATACTATTTTTTATATCCGTGTATACACCTACCTATTTTGGTTAAGGGTATAGTTTCTGCGAATATTTTAGGCATGCAACAATCACATGTCAAGTTAAAATGAGTGGTCATTTTCACTAAAGAAAGTTGAAAAAGGTTTGCGAAAAAGGGTACGATAATGACTCGATCGTGTTAGACACGCGACATATTTATGTATTTGTGGTCTCTATTACCATTCCCTTTCTCACTCTTATCATTTTAAGAGATATTTTCAGACTCACGTCACAGAGAAGATAGTCGGGTAATAATCATGTAAGAATAGTTTGAAGTTAAATGTTAAACTATAACAGTGATCGAATAAAAGTCAAATAGAAAAGTTGGCAGAGACTTCTCAGTTTTGTGATCGGAATCAACTCTTGGGTCAGACGTTTATATTAGATGTTACGTCTCACATTAGGACAAAATTACAACTTGGACAATACTAATGAGACGTAGAGTTTTAATAGGGTTTAAGCCTATAAAATTATTGAGAGGGTCTGTGACCAACAAAAAAATAAGAGGTCGTACCAAATTTATATACAATGTCAACAGTATTTTATGTATTTGTGGCAACTGCCAACTGGCAAAGCATATAATTTATTTCAGTGTTTAATAAAAAGAGCGAGCACAGTGCCGCTTATTGCACTGTTATTAAAAAAATGTGTAAAAATAATTAATTTACGAATGATCAAACCCGATATTAGATTAACTAAAACTGTAATGACTAGTTGCCCACAATTGTTTTTAAATTTTAAAGTCAAAACTATATTGTTTATTGAAATAATATAGTATACTATTTCCGTACATTTATAAACAAAACTATTTTTACTAGGATTTGTTTTCCAACTACAGGGATTTATAAATTCTGCTGACAATTATAATTGATCTCCTCCCACTTGGAAAGATAAATAACTCCAACGACTGTGGCAATGGAGATTTAGTTAATATATTTCCCAATGTAGTTGGAGCCATTCCCAATGCTTTTGGAAGCCCACAAATCATTGAATAATCCAAGTATTTTATACTCTGCCTGTTGGCTGAGAGCTACTGAATCAATATAGTACAATAGTAACACTATCGTATAATAAACAAATTAGTCTGGCTAATTAGCAATTAGTGGAGTAATGGTTTGAATATAAGACGCCTTAATGACCGTGGTCATCTCTGCGTCTGACTCTTAATAGCCATAAGGGACGTTTGATAAACTTAATCATCCTGTTTTAATGGTAATAAAGTAATGAGAGAGGTGTAATTAATAATTTGGTAAAACGACAAAATTAAGACTCAAATCATTAAGCTCAACCAGACAAATTATACCGGTGATTTCAAACATTTTTTTTGTTTGATCACAAATGATCCTCTAAAAGGGGGGATGACAATGAATACTAGCATTTTAATTGTTTGAAAAAACAAATTCTGCAATGAGTTAAACATGATGTTTATCATAACATACCAATCATAACACCATAGAGTATTTAAATAGGTTTTATTTTGATAAAAGAAAAGAAAAAATGGAAAATGTTGTTTTCTGGCCAAAATTATATGAATTTGGCCATTGTTGTTCAATCCACGTAACATATTATATATAGGCTGTCAACAAATTAACCATCAGTTTATTCAATCCCAATTAATGGTGGAGTTTTAGAAGAACAAATACTATAATACTTATTGCATGCAAAATGTGGATTATTGACGTTACGGTTCGGTGCATGTAGCTCATAAAAGGAGGTGGTCTCAACAAGACGTAGATGTTAGATGGACGTCTGTGCGAAACTAGCAATCTTCGCGACCCTATCGGAAGAGATTGTGGCCTCACTTCGAATCAAACAATATAAGATCTTTATGGATGACAAAACAATATCTACCAGACAAATTATGCCTTTAGTGTAATTTATAAAGACGACATTTTTTTGCGGCAAACAGATAAAAGGGTGATGGAGAAGATGACGTACGATAGCTAGAATGGTCATGAATAAGACTCATGAACTATACCAAAATTTCCCAAATTTTGTTGGATTTTTCTCTATAAGAGGAGAAAAAGTCTACACAAAAAGGACTAAGTAAAGAAAAGGACTATATATCTTCTATAATTACTACTAATGTTTATAATTAAAGTACTGATTACATCTTCAAAATTATTTTCATATAATAATCCTTGTATATCGAAAGATTAAACACTTTATTTAAATATGTATCAATTGTTTTGGGTAGGTGCAAATGGCATATATATACAACTGCCAACTTTCAATATTCAGCATTGATATAAGAAACAAGTTAGTTGCATGAAGAGCAACTCTTCAAATTTCAGACGTCATTTTCACAAGGGACCGAGGTAAGTAGAGACAGAGGAGATATATACAATTTAGATCTAATTAAAATTAGATTATAGCACGAATAAAGACAAAGCACAAGAGGGTGTTTTATAAAATGATGATAAAAGAGAGAGTTTGGATATGGTTGACACTTGACCCTTGTGAGCACGAAGCAACGTTCTTTAGGAAAGCAAAAGAGAGAAAAAAATCAGTCAGCGTCTCGCCGTCTCCGCAGTAGTCGGGACGTCCCTTGTTACGAGGTCGCGGCTATACGTTTTCTTCTGCCTACCTTCTTTGTTTATTTCTCTTTCCATTTAATTATATTTTTCTTAATTTAGGAAGTTTCCTTCTCTATTAATTTAATTTTTGATGGTGTAAAAGGTACCTACGTGCCCTATGCATGTCCGTCCCTATATGGCTTTGACAAATTTTCTATAGAATAAATGATAAAGTGCAATTTAGAATTTGGAGATGCACACAATTCGGTCGATGCGTTTTAGACCGTGAAACAAAAGAGAAACGTATTATTTTTATTCTACATTTATAAAATGCATTTGCATTGTTGAAGCGATTCGAGAACGTGCTATGTATACCATTCTATACAGTTTCGTGTCGATTTTTTAGATACCTATGTTTGATGTGTGAAGTAACAAAAAAAAAGTTGCATATTAATCTAATTGTTATCTAGATTAGGTTTTAAGTTATGAGATTAATTAGGTCGCGAAGAAAAGTTTGTTTTTCAGGTTGATTTTAATTTTTTTACAATTCTGTTTAAAATATAATTATGATATATCGTATACAACTCATACAAATACGCTTTTAAATTTAAAGCAAGGTACATAAGTCATTCGATTAAATAATATTTTCGTTAAATTGGATTTTGATGCTAAGCAAAGGTTCAAAGTATCACTTTCATAATGACTTTACGATAATCACTAAAGTAGTAGTAATTCATGATCTTTTTTTATCGTCGATACCGTGTTCTATTGATCTCTTCATAAGTAATACGGAAAGATAATTACTTCCATTATTAGCTCTTCTTGTAATATATGTAAGATGCGTATGAACCACGAATATTGTTGTGGGGCCGAAATGGAACTCCATTTTTTAT